TTTAAGAGTGATTTTTGCACAGGGGGAAATCTCATTATAAAAGTTAGATTCATTACCAAACACTTAAACTCAACGTTTCAAACCTACAGAACATTATCCAATTGATGGCATTGTTTTTTATAGCCGACTGAATAAATAATAGCTGAAAATAGGAGTCCAAATAAGATGGTAAAAGGAAGATTTTTAAGTCTTCAGACTTGACTTAGTTAAAAAATATACAAATCATTTTTCTTGGGGGTTGGGGGGTTGAAAATTAATACAACCTGTTCCCTTCACTTAACACAATAATTTATATTTCTGCTTCTTGTGAAATGTGGTCTTCTCTTACTCATTCAACAAATATTAATAAAGTTTCAGGTGTGTTTCAGGCACTGAGATGCTGAGCACACAAAGATGGCTCGCATGTATTCCCTGCCCTCAAGGGTATTCGCAAGCTTGTGCTGAAAACAAAGAAGTAAATTACTTACCTGTAAACTACTGTATTAAAATGATATGTATTGGGAGCTTTCATTCTACTGGAGATAAAGAGACTGTGTACTTCAGGACTTAGGGCATGTAGTACACAGGATGTGATTTCAAATAAGGTGTCAGGTGAGATCCCATTGAAAAGTAGTATTTAACGGAGACTGAAAGGGGCCCCCAGCTGGCCGGGTAGATCATGTGGGAGAAAGAGCTTTTCAGAATGAATAAAGGCTGGCCAACCGTAGCCCATGGTCCAAATCCTACCCACTGTCTATAAATGAAGTTTTGTGAGCACAGAGCCATGAGTGCATGTCTGCATAGGTGATGTGTGTTGTCCTGCTAAGATAACAGAGTCACGAGTGCGCATGTGTGAGCAGGTGATGTGTGCAAGCCTGCTGTTGGTTTTGATCAAGAGACCAAGAGCTCCAGTGCAGTGGGGTAAGTACAAACATGAGCATGGCCAAGAGCAGATGAAAGACCCAACTGAGTGTAGGGGAAACTGAAATTTGAGCTGAAGTAAAGAAGAGCTGATACAAGGGAGTAGGCAAAATCAAGGTACGTGAAGACGGAATAAATGCCACGTGCACAGGACCACGGTGAGGAAGGCCTGGTGCACCCAGAGAATGGCACACTTCCCCTCTAGAGCTCCCAGAAGGTATGTGGGAATGCGGCCGGAGTCAGGGCTGAAAACACAGACAGAGCAGACGCACAGGCTGGGAAAGAGAAGCAGGTAAACCTGAGGAAGGTGTCCACAGCCAGCCCTGTCCTTCCTCTTCATGCCAGCTGTTACTGACAGCTGATGGCATGTCCTGCCACTAGGGTCATGTGGCACAGGGGCAGAGGTGCAGGGGGATGGGACACCCACTTAATGGTGTATAGCCATAGTGGTATAATCAAAATGTGTGCTTGGAGCTTGGGCATTAAATCCAAAGGACTCAACATGTACAAGAACGGTTGTTTGAACAGTACTAGGTGTTTATGTTGGTTTCTAGGAGGTGTGGTGGGAAGACTAGAGGCTTGGCAGGACCTTACTCTGGGTTCACTGTGTCCTGGCAGGACATCACCCTGGTCAGACCAAAGGTTGGCCCTGAAGTTCTGGGGTCCTGGAAGGCTGGAGTTGCCTAAGGGCCTGCTATGCTGTCTACATGCCCTAAATCCTGAAGAAACATATTTTGGTGTCATTGTGCTTGAGCCAAGCCTGCACTGTAGCCTTTTGAGAGAGTAACCCAAACATAGAATGGAGGGAGAAGATCCACTCCAGAATGCTGCCTAAGAGCCAGAAACGCTTCTCCAGAGGCCATGGGGCCAGGAGGAATGCAGAGTGCAGAGAGCAGCAGTTTAAGGAAATGTATTGCATCCCGGGGCTCTGGAAAGCAGGAGGGGGGGAGGAGTACACCAGCTCTGCTTTGGACTAAGGGGACCGACAATCACACAGTCCTGACATCATTGGAAACAAGGAAACAACATTGTCTGCTCAGAGTGAAGGTGATACGGCTGAGATGGCAGGCTGAGGATGGGCAGAGGATGCACCCACAGCACCCACAGCATAGGAAGGAAGACCACTATCATCATCAGAAAATAAGAGGCTGGAGTTAAAGATTTCAATACTGTTATAGGTTGAATTGTATCCTCACCTCCCCCCGACCAAAAAAAAAATGTTGAAGCCAAACCTTCAGTACATTTAAATATATAAATGGGATAATTTCAGATACAATTATTTAAATGAGGTTATACTGGTAAAGGTGGGCCTCTAATCCAATAGGGCTGTTCATATATGAAGATGGCCACGTGAGGAAGTTCCTACACATGGCAGAACTAAGGCTGTTTTTTTAGCTTGTTTGAGTTTCTTTATTTGTTGTCTCATTTAAGAAAGAAAAAAAATCTGAGCATTTTTATAAAAAGAGAGTGATCACCCTTAGAGAGAAAGAAATGTAAGGCCATGGCAAAAAAGAAGGGCCAATGAATAGAGCAACCATCTATTGAAAGAAAATTCCTCCAGAACACACAGCAGAAAGAACTGAGACAGGATGAAGGGTCAAACAGCAGATGGGGTATGACGTGTGGGTTCCAATTAGGCCAGTGATAATAGATGACTCCGTACTCAGACTCAGTGGGGGATGGAGTAGGGCAAAGTGGGGGACAGAGGCCAGAATTCACCCTGGATGGAGAGTCAATAGGAGCAGAAAAACGGAGCCAACCAGCCAGGAGCAGAACCAGTATCGTAGGGTTCAGACAAAGAAGGAATTGGCCCAATAGAAAGCAGGAGAGGGAATAAGCATTGAGCATGCAAGAACTGGCTCTCCGTCTCTGCCCCAGGAGTCAGAACCTCCCTGGTGTGGCCAGGGGAGGGAGTGAGGAGTGCTGCTCCGTGAGGAAATCAGAGCCTCTATGAGCTGAGAATCTAAAGCTTCCTCTGCTCAATAAATGATGAAGGCACACCTGCTGGACTGGGGTGCACAGTGGGTTAGCTCTCCATGGCCCTTGTTCTACCATCTGACTCTCATATGGAAAGAATTCCACCTGGAGGGTTAGGAGAATCTGACCATCTGATCAGCCTGTGGGTATCTGAGTCACGTGTAAAGAAACAGTAAAGAAACAGCCAGCGGATATAACTCATGCTCTGACCTGAATTGTTTTTCTAGGATATTCTTAAGGGTATCACCTGAGGGAAAAGAAAGAGACTGTGCTCCTAATTACTTTATACTTTGCTTTGGGCAAACTCTAATTGCAATGCCTTTGGGTGGGAAAGTTTTGAATTTTAACTGGAAACAGCTTGACTAGTAAAAAATCAACAAATAGGCAGAACTTGGAGCTACACAGATGAAAGCTTCAGGGATGAAACGGGACCTTCCATAGAGTGTGGATGGGTTCAGATGCAACCAGTTCAACAGAACTAATGTTAATGGAGAGAATCAAGTCACTCTTCGTCTGGGAAAATCAACCATGCCTCCCTTTGGAAGCACATGGTCATTCAATTTGCTGGAGAAACTTGATGAGAACATTTTCTTTTCTATGATAGAAGGGATTCTTCAAAAGGCAAACTGTGGTGGTTGGTTTGACTATATTATTTGACCAAATTCCTGTGCTGTGCTTATATGTACACATACACATACACATTCATAAACAATAGGTCTAAATAGGTGGTTCTCAACTGCATGCAATTTCTGTCATCACAACTGGGGATGGAAGCATGTCATCTAGTGAGTGTAGGTCAGAGATGCTGCTAACATCCCACAATATTCAGGACAACTCCTCCCCCACCCGAAAGATTATACGGCCCAAAGCTTTGATAGTGCTGAGGTTGAGAAACTCTGCCCTATTTTAATTAGCGTGTCCTTGGCAAACAGCCAGTAAATCTTTATAGAACTTGAAGGCTCAAAATAATAAATATGATCATGGCAATTTGAAGATTTCATCTTAGCACAAACTCCCAAAAACATAAGGGAATGAACTACATATGGTACACACATCTATCCACAGCATTATATTTGTGAGAGTGTATGTTCACAGACACACATGCACATACACATAGGCAAAGGGGATGAATTTTGGCTGCCTCATCTCAGGACATGGTACAGAGCAAATCTCAACAGTGAGCGGGTAACCAAGTTCTAACCCAAGATTGAAGGGAAGTGTGATGTGGTTCTTCTTCCACTGTCATATCTGAAGGCAGGATCAGAAGTCTCAGCAGTGAATTAGCCTGAGGACCAACCTGACTGGACAGGCTGTGGATGCAGAGAGACCAATGGCAGCGTCAGGGTCCTTATTAACTTTTGAGCCACTGATATAAGCAACTCCAAAGATGTCTATCCTGATTTGATACCTTCTTTTTAAATTGGTCAAGCTACTTGGAGCTACCAGTCGCCACACACATTCTTTTACACATTGTCTGAACGTTTCATGAAATACTAGTAATTTCCTGTTTCAGATATATAATAAAGATGATAAGAGGAAATGCACGAGTCTACAGATATCTTGGACATAACATCACATTTTCTAAATTATAAACATTACTATTAAAAACTAGCCTAAGTGATTTTTTTGTTTGTTTGTTTGTTTTTTGTGTTTTAATATATTTTATTGATTTTTACAGAGAGGAAGGGAGAGAGATAGAGAGCTAGAAACATCCATGAGAGAGAAACATCGACCAGCTGCCTCTTGCACACCCCCTACCGGGGATGGGCCCGCAACCAAGGTACATGCCCTTGACCGGAATCGAACCTGGGACCTTTCAGTCCACAGACCGACACTATACCACTGAGCCAAACCAGTTTCGGCAAAACTAACCTAAATTTGATGAATATCAAAGGAGTCCTATTCTCATGGTCTACACTGTAGGGACTATCACTGCTCTTTCCATCACTAAAGAGCCGCGTGATGCCCTTCCACATGGAAGTAGCAAGCATGTTACATTTTGATTTCTTTAGAAAATATGCTTTTTTTTTTTTTTAGAAACTGTGACAGTTTGCTTTTGAGCACCATGTCATCAGAAATCGCAGACGCATGAGATGGGAAACAGGAGTGGCTGGAGGACTTACCATTAAGCCACTTGGAGTTGTACTGGGCTGTACGGAGAGGAGGCAAGAGGCCCAGGCTTCTGTAAATGGCGGGATCGCGTCCGGGGAAATCCATGGCTGTAGCAGCATACAGCTCCCCGCTGGCCGTGAGGAGAGCCGTGGAATTGTGCTGGGGGCTGTAGGGACAGCGGGCCATACCACTGATCACGTCATGGATCTCTGTCAGGTTACTCAACTGTGGGTGAGGACAGGAGAGAGAAATGGATTACCCTGGGCAGGCTCTTTAATTCTGAGAATGCCTGTACTGCTAGGAAGCATGGGAAACAAGCTTTCTGGGGCTCATGACAAGACATGACCAACTTCACACTCTGCCCTTGATGAAACTGAGTGCTGTGGGCATGGTTTTAGTGTGCAGGTATCACTCTTTCTCATCATCCCAACAGAGTACCAGTACCTCGTGTGAGTGAATGCTCACAAAATCTGAAGATTGTTGTATGTTGATTCTATTCATAATGCAAAGGGCACTGCTATTCTTTCCACTTGAATAAAGATACAGGTTTCAATACTTACGGAAATATAAACTACAATAAAAGTTATATAGAATTTAACTGAATCAGCATATTATGAATAGCCCAAAACGTGTTCATAGGTAAGGATGTGTGGATATTTATAGCACCATGTAGCCCAAATTTTCAAAACTTCATTGAGTTTTTAGAGAGAACTCCATATCTTGCTGTCATCTGGGGAGAATCCAGCCTGTCAGTCCCTGAGTGAGAAAAGCCCTTTGGGTGGTAAGGGAATCTTGGGTCCACTTGTTCCCTCACTCAAGAATGCAGATGGGGTGGGGAACACTCAGAGCCACTGCCTGCTCTATGAGTAGACTTGTAGCCCCGTTAAGTAAGTCAAAATCTTTCTGCCCACGACTCTCCTTTTATAAAAGGGGACACAAAGGATAACCACCACAGTGGGTAGATGTGAGAATTAAATGAGTAAGTGGACAGAGGCCTCTTATAACGGGCCGTGGTACCCAGGGATCTCTGTGAGAATCACCATTATCCTCATCATCATCCTTTTTTTTTTTTTTTTTTTACAATAACTGGATGCTAACTCAAAAATAATGAAGTTGATGATAAATTCTGGTTTTGAGAGAAGTTGTGCAACCAGGAAATTAACCTGATGATAGTTCTCCATTATGTTCCCTGAGGAAGATCAAATGAATATCTCGCATTGGGAAGATGACAGGTTTGCTTTGATAACCCTGCTTCTCTCCTGGCAAAAGATGTGGGACTCTGAAAATCCCTGTCAGTAATCACAGCTTGAAAGAAAAAGCATTGGGTATAACTACTTTGCCTAGAGTTCCAGTGGTTTGTCTCATTGCTTTAACTTTTTGTCATGTTTCTTCTCCAATTTGTAAAATCTTTGTTCATTCGGATTGTGGTTTAAGGCCACGTCAATACTTAGCAGTATCTCTAAAGTAAAGCAGAGTAAGGAAAAAGAACATGTTTATGATTAATGTTTAGAGTCACTGGTGGGGAAAAAGCTGGCAGGAATAGTTTCAAAATCTATTTAAATTTAATTATAAAAGCTATGGTTATTTCTAGTTCTTTATATAATTGAAAATTGTGATTAGGAGTAAATCAATACATCAAATATGTATTCAATTTGACAAAAGAGGTATTTGGAATTAAAGAGCAACTTGTTGGGAGAACAGAAAAGCAAAAATACACCCATGCTTTAATAGAAGGTTTGCATTTTTCTGGCATAAGTTTTGTCAACTCTCATCATGAAGCTGTACCGTGCGATTGCTGCAGATGGGGGTGAAAGCGTGGGTCCCACAGGTAAATAGCCAGTCGCCGGCTACTAAAAGCACCCGGATGTAGTTCTGACATTCATCCTAAAAAATAAAAATATCACAAGAAATTCATTATCAAGGCCTAGCACTATTAAATAATGTGACTATCCACATGCTTGTTCAGTAAGAGATAACTACTGATTTTAATATAATTAAATATAATTAAAATCCCAGGACTTTTAAACTACATATGCATGCTTCTCCAAGGAGAAGGCCACATGAGAGACTCTATACAAAGCACAACAAGGTTTATGTTTAGTTCTCAAATTTGGTTACATACATAGCAAGACTCTATTATCACTTTTGATTCTTTAATGGACAAATAAAAATATAACCAACAAAAGAAGGACGTCTCAATAATATCGTGGGAAAGCCCATGCTGATGGTGACCCAGAGCTGAATAGTTCTTGCAGTTGCAGAGCATTCACAAAAAAATCTGGTCCATGGGCAGAGGAGTGCATGGACCTGAGAAAGCATTTACTGATCAGATATTCTTCAGGAGGCACTGTGCTGAAGGTCACAATCTAGGCTTTTAACAAAAAAATTGAAATCGAGGGCAACAACAATTACTTTAGAGTTGTACACATAAGAACAGAATATTCAAATTCCAGAAGAGAGGGGAAAGAAAGAGGTATAGAAGGGCTTCCCAGAAGAGGTTGACACCTAACATAAACTTCCAAGGAAGAATAGAATTTACTGAAACTCCCTGGAAGAGGTGTTATCTGACACTTGCAGGGTTTTCCTGAGCAAAGAAGGGAAAACATACTCCAGGCAGGGGAACAGCCTGTGCCACGGCACACTGGCTAGAGAAATCACGGTGCTTTCATTGTGTGTAGAAGACAAGCAGGGGAGCCAGACCCAGGCCAGGTGTGCAGGGCTGAGGAGCTTACATTTATTCGGATTGTGAAGGGACCCATGATATGTTGTTAATGCATGAAGTTCTGACCTGATCCAATACTGGGGAATCAGTGTGGATGTTAATGTGGAGATAGGGAGATTGCAATTCACAGAAAAGAAGGAAAACCACTTCCATAATTCAGTCCCTCCTCATCTCAGGCCTGACTAATGCAGCAGGTGTGAAAAGGCAAGGCCGGGATCCAGGCAATCAACAAGATGTGGGCACCGACCAGTCAGCTAGACCTGATGACACAATGACTTGAATCACACATTGCCCCAAGTCAGGGAGACCTGGACTGAATAGCACAGCAACGTTCCTTCAACCAGGTGGCAACCCAGTATCCATGCAATGTTGATCTGTCACAGCTCAGTGTGCTTTGTGGGCTGGCTGTGAGGACGAAAAGAGCTAGGCTATTTGAATTTGCTTTCTAAATGTACAGTGAAATATCAAGAGTAGATAAATCTCTTAATACTAGTACCAGCAATAAAAGTGGCACATTATCATGAGGTGCCAACCTGAAGACACTTCAACTGAAGAAAGAAAACCACAGAACAAAAGAGCTAAGGTAACTATCAGAAGAATTAAGAAATGAGTGTAAACAGTAGACAGTAAGTTGGGCAAGTGAGAAAGGTACACCACATGGGGAGGTGTCTTCTGTTTTGTCTTTATAACTGGGGAGAGATAAAGAAAGTTCTAAAGAGAAGAAACAAAACAAGACTTCAAAAAACCTTATCATCATCCATTCCTAAGCATAGGAGATGGGTAAGGCGACTAGACATCCCGCTTTTAGCGGAACAGTCCCGATTTTTAACAATTTGTCCCGCGTCCCGGGGCATTTTTAAAAAAAGTCCCTTAGAGATAAGGCTCCCACCTCAGGGAGCAGAGGGGCCCAGAGTTTTCAAAGATGAGGAGGAAAACACAAAGCCTAAGCTTGTCTGAGGGGGACTCCAAAAAGACCCTGGAGAACACAGGGCCAAGAGGACTTGACACATTAGCAGATAAAACAGACACAAAAATGCCACCAGAATAAAGAATGAGATAGAGAATTGCACAGAGGAGAAAGGGGGGGATTTTGTTTTGTTTTCTGCTGCTGTTTTTAGAAGTTTTCCAAGAATAGTCAAGATGTTGTTTATTTCTTTGAAGCAAGAGACTGACTCAAGATAGAAGTGTGCTGGAGACAGTCCCTGTTAATCACGGAGAAGGTCAAGGGTAAGATATTCCAAGAGAATCACTCAGGTTGAAAAGATGGGATCTCAAGGCTGAATGCTATAGACCTGGTGAAGAGGGAGCAAGTGCCAGTCATCAATTATGGGAAGGCAAACAATGAAGATAACGCAGGTGGTGTTTATCTTAATCTCCCCCCAAAAAAGGACAAAGTGAAAATAGGATTTTAGGTCCTTAACATTTTGAAGGCCTATCACAAACTTGAGAAAGAATTAGAAAGATGGTTAGGGGGTGTCATAACCAGGATGTAGCTTTGTGCTAGGGAGGAAGGGCAAATCCAACTGGTAATTTTTTTTTCAATCTTGAAAAAAGTAAATGTGGGAGGAAATAATATTATTTCAATAAGCACAGAGGGTGTTTGTTTGTTTGTAAGGCCTATTCTGGTCATCAGAATCATGTGTGGATACAATGGGCAGTTGAGGAGGGTCATATGCCCGTGATGAGTTAACCCTGCTCAGTGAGTATGCAGCAAGGAAGAAGGTAAATGCCAGGCACCAGGATGGTCAGACAGGGAGGTATGTGCAGTCCTTTTCTAAAAGGACGGAGGACCCAGCCCTATGGAACCCAGACTTGCTTATAGTAAATGGGACCATGTTCAAGATGGATCCAGGATGCAGGGTCCGATGGAACACGATGTCCTACAAGAGAAACTTTTGGAGGCTGTTGGTATGTTGTTTCTTCCTGCCAACAACTCAACTCATTTGCCCAAGACTCAGCTCATCTCAGACCCTTCCTATTCTTACTCACTTGGAAGTTCTCTTTGGTTTAACTTACAAACTGCCCCCATACTGATTCTAGAATCAGTAAATATGAATATTAGATAAAGAAATACATTTCAAAGAATAAATCCTTGGGTTTTTGCTTTGTGTTTTTGTTTTTGTTTTTTTGTGTGTATTTTATCCCCAAGAGAGATTGGAGCAAGTTCAAACAAAACATAATGTAAAAACATAAAAATAGGAGAAAGTGGAAGTACTTGTTTATGAGCAGAAGATATACTTAGCAATGAAGAGTCAAAATTAAGATTGAGAAAAATGGTCTGTGTCCCAGGCTTTGTAATAGTGATTATCTTAATAGTGATTATCCTAGACTCAAATTTGCCTATAGAAAATCTCCTGATAAACCTCTTTGTCAAGCTCTGCTACAAATGTGGCCTTCATATGAATTAGCTGAACTTGCTAGACTGCATGCAATCACCTTACTTAAAAGTATAGACATAATATAGAATCCTTTTAGGAGATTTTGTTACAGGTTTCTCTTACAAATCAGTTTATCTAAATGTCTTTGCTTCTCTCTCTCTCTCTCTCTCTCTCTCTCTCTCTCTCTCTCTCTCTCTCTCTCTCTCTCTCTCTTTCTCATCTAGGAATTCCCCCCACCCTCTTTATATCATCTTCAAAATGGTTGAAGGGGATTTAATGACTTCTGGTTTTCTGAGAAGTCATGGTGCTCATGGAAATTCCAAGGCTACTAGCAGCCTGCCACCACATGGCTTCTGTTGTTGATAATGAGAGCCATCTATCTACATTTTGATAATACCACTTGGACATTAAAATGACCCATGTGCACCTGCATTCTTGCAAGCTGGTCAACCTGTCCTTGACTTTGAAGCAATTTTTATTTGAATTGATAGCTGAGATGCATAGTTGCTGACTCACTGAGAACTTTAAGATGAGACTGGCCAAGGCTCATTCCATCTCAAGGACATATGGTCTAGTCCCAGAAGGGAAAACACATGTTTTAGGATCATCTTCTTAATGAATTAACTGGTTTTGCCTTATAGCATTTCATCATTTTCCTTTCGAGCAGTTATGTTTTGCTTGAAGAAAGACTGTAATTGTGTAGAAAGATTAACTGCAAACAAGGTAGATGCCTCAACAACAGCCAGCCCATCATCAAACCCATCAATTTTAGGGAGGATGGGGGAGGGGGAGGAGCCTGACAGCCTTTATGTTAATCACAGCGCTCCCACTAAAAGCAGCCTCTGTCTCTTAATGAAGCATTACCTGTGTGAGCATCCAAAGTGAGCATCCGAGGAGCAATTCAGAGTAATTGCATGTGCCTTTTAGGTCCAATGTACACCAACCAAAGTCATGATTACCAGGTGGATCTTAAAAAACCACATGATCCCATCGATAGAAATATATACACACAGCCGAAACTGGTTTGGCTCAGTGGTAGAGCATCGGTCTGCGGACTGAAAGGTCCCAGGTTCGATTCCGGTCAAGGGCATGTACCTTGGTTGCGGGCACATCCCCAGTAGGGGGTGTGCAAGAGGCAGCTGGTTGATGTTTCTCTCTCATCGACATTTCTAGCTCTCTATCTCTCTCCCTTCCTCTCTGTAAAAAATCAATAAAATATATTTACAAAAAAAAAGAAATATATACACACAATATAAAGATATATGTGTGTGTTTCCGATGTATAAATGTGCATACAAATTATAGAAGTATATATAAATACAGGGGATGGCAAGAGTAGGGCTGACTTCAACCTCCTCAGAAGACAGTGGGGCTAACCCAAACAGATCATAGAAATTCAGCTTTGTTTACTGGTTTCCCAAGACTAGGAGAAGGTATGAATCGGGGGTGGGAAATATCTGGCCTTCAAGCCTTAGAAGGCCTGCAAAATCATTTGGTCTGGCCCTGCAAAGGCAACCGCAGGTGAATTTCAAAATTCAATAAATCTAGGAGCTTTTTTCATAGCAGCATATATTTATATTAAGTGAATTATCTTCAGCCAATGATGTTATAAATATCCAAATGGCCCATGGCAGAAAAAGGCTACGCTTTTTTTCTGGTGTAATTGATGAAGGCCTGCAATTTGAGAATTTTTTTAAGATTGTACCTAAGTGCACTGTGCCATTGCAATATTCTTTTGAGTTAACAAAGCTATTGCAATAATCATAGCCTGCATGTATTTTTCCATATGAACAACTGTAAACCTACTTTTTGCCCATCCTGATATACTATAGAGATATAGAAATATGATAATTTATAAACATATACATATACACACAAATTTCATTAAAATTATTTACATTACGTAACACACCGTGTATTAATAAATTAAAGTGTAATTACTATCTATACTAATAAAAGAGTAATTTACTGCACCTTCAGGATGCCCACCAGCCATTCAGAAGTATGCAAATTAACCCAACAAATATGGTGGGTTAATTTGCATATGCAGACACCCAGCAGCTGGAGGCAGGGTGTGTTCCACACCACACCAGCTGCCAGCTGCTCTGGGACTCTGGGCAGTGTGAGAAGGTGGAAAGGCAGCTCAGGGCAGGAGCAAAAAGGCAGTTCAGGCAGGGTGAAGGTGGTGCTGGCAGCTAGGGGAAGGAAGGCCCATTCTTGCATGAATCTTCGCGCATCTGGTCTCTATTATTTATACAATGCGACTCTTAAAAGAACTTGACTCCATAGGAAACTTGTTTGGGAAGCTCGATATGAAAAAGAACAAACTCTGGCACGCGTAACCTGCACAGGTCGTTAGTACCTCACCTAAGGAATCCTCAATTTTTGCAGCAATTATTTAGGAGAAAGGCAGGCCTAGTTTGCCACAGGCACTGATTAACTCCTAGCTTTCCAAATACTAGCAATTCAGGTGAAAATGTCAAATTTCAACCCCGGTGGCTCCAGATTCCCAGGCAGGATGGTGTCTTTGCTCACTCAGGTGGAGTTTAACTCTACTTATCCAAGTTGACGACTCAGAAGCAGGACCAAAGGGAAGAGCAGGGGAACAGTACACAGAGCCCTAGATCCTAATCAAAACTCTCCCACTGACTAGCAAAATAATTCTAGGAACTTGATGTTGAGAATACTGACATGAGATCATGAACAAAAAACTTTTGAAAATGATAAAGTGCAACATATACACAAAGCAGCTCTTTCAGGCCCTTAATCACCAGTTGTGTTTCTTTTGTCAAGTTCCTAAAGGTCATGGTGGGAAGGGCTTTGGCTCAGACATAGTAACGCCAAACAGACAAGGGACTCTTGTTAGATCACCAGAGAATGGACTATTTATGTTTAAAATAACATTTGTGGAAAAGACATTTAAATAGCTCTCAAAGCTGATTTCTATAATGGTCTTTCAAAGGAAACTAAATACAACAGAATTTATTATAAGAGGTTTCGGAATTCATAAAAACAGATTTCCCCCCATTGCTCCAAAGTGAGCTGAAAATCATGTACCTAACAAGGCATCAAACCTCAGGAAGAATGAGCAGGCCCAGTGCTTTGCTTCTCTTCTAAACAAGCCCACAGCAAAGATGTGGCGACATTTTCTTGGCCCTGATTCCCTCAATTGTCACTGGGATGGGCTATACTGAACCTCGGGGTCAGTCCCAGAGGAGCAGGAGAAAACGTATCATCTTCCTCTCTCCTGCTCTGCAGCCACTGGGAAGGCTCTCAGGGAGGAGTGGGTTCGGGCTGCCACCCCCAGGCCCAGCCTGGCCACCCTCCACATTCCTGGTGGGAAAACCCATTGTGTGGAGCAGCACAGACCGCTTTTCTTAGCACAGGAAAAAGGCTACTTCAGTCAGAATGGCTGGCATTTTTCTCATTTTTGAGATGTCACATTGTCCATTATTCTTTTTATGGGGGGTGGGAGGGCAGGGATACATTTTGTAAGTTCATAATACTATCACATAAAGAAAGTCGTGAAACAGTTGAATTCTCATTTCTAAATTCATGGCTATAGAGAAGTCTGATTTCCACTCCCCTCAACTGCTGTTATGTTTTAGTCAAATTGATACAGAGAATGTGTTCTGATTTGGGTCCTGGCACTGTCAGAACAGAGAAATTTGGGGTGTCTGACTTTCAAATTTAGGGGTTAGCCCTCAGGCAGGTGGCACGTGGCCTAAGCTGCTGCTTCTAAGTGGGTCTGCCTTGCTGCCTCCCCATCTGTGCCCCAGGGGTTGGGCTTGGGTCTCTCCTCTTCCCTCTTTCTAGTTCCTAGAAATAGAGCCCTGGCTGGATTGCTCAGTTGTTTGGAGCATCATCCCATACAACAAAAGGCTGCAGGTTCGATTCCCAGTCAGGTCACATACCTAGGTTTCAGGTTTGATCCCCCTGGTCAGATCCCCATGTACGGAAGGCAAATGATCAATGTTTCTCTCTAACTTTGATGTTTCTCTCTTCCTCTCTGTCTCTATCCATCCCACCATCCCTCCTTTTCTCTAAAATCAATGAACAACATATCCTAGGGCAGTGGTCGGCACATGTGGCTCTCGAGCTGCGGTTTGCCATTCTGTTGACTGAGTTTGCTGACCACTGTCCTAGGGTGATGATTAAAAAAATAAATAAAATAGAAGAATGAGGTCATCAAACAGTGTCCTGGAAGGCCCGGGCATCACCAGGCAAAGGGGAGGACATTGGCACTAGAGCCATGGAAAGGCCAATGTTTTCCAACAGTGAATCTTACTAGTAGAATGAAAGAAAGATGATCCCCCCCCCCCCCAGCCCCTGGTAAATTTAATTCCCCACATTTCATTCCTCAAGCACAGGTGATCTTAATTGAAGAACTCCTCTGTGCTCTGTGAGTGAGAAGCAAAGCTATACCAATACACCTGTCATATCAAGACATCCATATCACAGGGAGGAGAAAGAAAGCCATCTGGAAAGCACTTTGTCAAAAGGCTTCTACATAATCTATACAGACTCAATAAGGTTATTGAGGTAAATACATTCCTTATGCATGTATTTCTTTTCGGGGGTATTTTAAAAGACAGTATTCTGATTTTTGTGTAACCTGGTACTACCTTTAAATCTTCCTGTATGTGCCATGACTTAATTCAGAGGCATTTTCATGAGGTTAGAGATCTTTTAATAAATAGCCTTTCTTTTTCTTTGTCTGCAAGGGTTTCCCTGGCTAAGACTGTATTTTCTTCCTCCTCCTCTTTCGTCTTCCTAGCTCTTTATTTGGCTTTGAGAAACACAATGACTAAATTTGCTAGGACGTACCTCCATGTCTAACCATCAAGACTGTTGAGTTCAAAGACAGAAAAGCAGGCAATGAAGTTGGATAAAATAAGGTACAGGATGGTCTCCCACACATACCACTGGTGTGAGGGAGTTTTCCCAGCAATCTCTGCATTTGCTGTACTGTTTGCCTTGGGACCACACTTGGTAAAGAATAAGCCCTTTTTGCTGCTCTTGAGGAGCGACTTTCTTCTGGACCAAAGTGTGACTGAGGTTGGAAAGCCCTTGCTCCGACAAAGGAAAGGCGATCCCTAATAGAATGAGACCTTCGAAGCCTGAGACCCAGTGGGAGAAAATTTCCTCATGATGATCCAGCATCATTTTCTCAGAAACACAGACTTCCTCAGGAGCCTCTCCTTGGGCAGCCAACTGTGAGAGAGCACCCTGCCATGTGGACGGCTGCTCTAGGCATGCCTTTGAGCCGTAGCTACCCTGCCCTTAGGAACTTCGAGATACAGGTTTCTTCATGCTTATTTTTAAAATATGTTAAGTTAAATTATTATTAAAAAAAACTCTCAAATCACTTTTGACGCCATTATTTTAGATATCATGTAGTCATTTTCTGGAGTGAGCTGTAAGGCACAAGTGGGAGAAATCTAAATATTATTTTAAAAATCCAGGCTCACAGTATTCTAAATGATATCATAACCAATTAATTTCATTGCTTAGTCTAATGTCTGAGAGTGCAAATTGGATCTGATCTTATGCTCTAAATCCCTTTTGGAAGCTCATTGAATGTTAAAACCTGGAGAATTTACTGCACATATATTTCAAAGCTTGCCTTTTTCACACGGCATTGTAATCAGGAATAGCCTTCCCATTAACATGCTTTATGTTCCAGCCTTCAAAAAGCTGATGACCGCCATGACCACCTTACCTCCGATTTGCCCTTACTGTAACAGGCCTTCTTGGTCGCTTCATCACACTCCCACTCCTCAGCCTGTAAGAAACACCAAAATGACAGCAACTATTATAATTCTGACTGAACAAAAAGAGCTAAGACTGTATTTTCTTCTTTCTCCTCTTCCCTCTTCCTACCTCTTTATTCGGCTTTGAGGAACACAATGACTTTGAGGAACACAATGGCTTTGAGGCAAGTGGGGGAGGGGGAGTGGGGAAAGAGACACCAGGAACCAGATTAGGGGGAATCAGGACACCAATATTTTTAAACTAATATAGGACTTAGAACAGGTATATAAAATCCGGTCCTATGGGTTTACATGAGTTTTAGAACTAAAGAATTTTAAACAGCTCACCTCCTTTAAAAAAACGTGATATTTAGATCTAGTCACTGTAGCAGGCGCATGTCCAATGCGTTGGTGACTAGTGCACGATTACAGAACCTGTCACTTCTGTGATGTCAAAGAATAAACCCACAGCACACTTCAAAGAGAAGCCTGGAAACAAAATGATCTGACTACTCATTTAGACATCTTCATTTTGCTTCAACAGCATGTCATCTATCAATATTCATTGATAATAAAACAAGGAAGATTTTTCATATCATTACTCCCAAGGCACATATACTATAATTGGTAGTCAATGAAATAAATACCTCTTGCAAAAATCACAAACCAGTAATTTTCATGTTATTAGCTCTGACTAAATATTTAAAGTCACAACTTTTAAATATTCTTTTTCTCAGACTTTTCAACTCCAACTCATTACTGATCAAGTGAATGTGGCTACTTACACATAGGACACTAACTCACAAACAGAACCTGTGATTAGTTAAGATAACATACAGTGCTTATTTTGCAGGAGGAAATGGTGCTTGCAAACATTAACGATCTCATGCTGACATTGTGAATTATTTTTTGAACAAATGTATGCATCCGAGTTGTTTATCTTTTATATTACTGTGGGGATGTGAACTATCATGGGTAAAAATGCTTTTTCCATCTGTATGCATATTGTTATAATTATGTTCATTCTTAATACTACAGTTGAGTTTCTGAAAAATTTGGGGTTTCTGAAAAACTGGTTAAATCATTGTCAAAAAAAAAAAAACTAAGTGAGGTGGCAATTTTTTTGTTAATTTGAGCTAATGTTTAATAATACTCAAAATTAGCTAAAACTAAACTACTGTTAAGTATAATATTATGAAGAATAACGGTTTCGCTCTTACTTCCAGAAATACTTTTCTTCTAATTCTCCTAAATTTAGAAGAATAACAAAGTCATGCTAACATCATTATCTAACGTCTACTTGACCTCCAAAGAATGTGACATAACAACGATTGAGACACAAAACACTACATCTTCTATAACTTATCTAACTTGGCAAATATGAGTCCAAAAGAAAAGTATTCTAGAGAGAACACTCCAAACAGAAACAATACTACAGTGTTTCCCATGTGAAGACTTCGAGATATTTATCAGTGTCAACATCTGATAAGAGAATTTATTCTTCTATGTTGTTTTCCTGTTCATAAGTCTTAATGGCAACAATAAAGTCACAGTTAATCAGCATCTCAAGGAAAACAAATGACTTGAGTTCCATGGTACGATGACAAATATTTTCACACAAAGTGATGGCACTTCCAGAAGAGATAAGAGCTTTATGTAGAGTTGTATAAGTGTCTGTCCCCCTGTGAAGCACAGAGGAATAAATGCACTGCTGTCATTCTAAGTGGTCCTTTACTTTCTTAGGTTTCTTTCTAAAAGCTTGTTCTTGTTTTTATTTAAATAAACATACCCATGCCTTGCCCTCACTTAAACTTAAAAAACAGAATTGATTCACTATGATATATGCTCTTAGCAAAGTAGGCCTCATTATAGCTATGATTTTATACTACCAAGAGGATTTACTGTTATACATCACAGAGAGAAATTAACTTCTATGCAGAGAAATGCTTTAGATAAAGAGGTATGTATAGTGGCCCTCAGTGGCCTAGCGATTGTGTTGAAAGTGAAATAGCAATTCTCTCTTCAGTAAACATAGAGCTATGAGGAGCAGGGTTATTCCCAGGGTTCAGAACAGAATATTTATCAAATGAAATCAAACTTGTTAGATCATTCTGCCGAAATGGCAAATAAAGAGCTTCCCAAGTCACCTAATTGCCAAGTAGCTTTAGCATTTTCAAGATAAATACTGGCCAATGACTGGAAGGGGAAAGGAATAGAAAAAAAGAATGTGAGAGATTTCAAAAATATTTCATTACTTAACTCAGTTGACCAAGAAAGAGCAATTACTCAAAAAGTTTACCAAACCGAAAACAGGTTTTTCTAAAGACAGTATCTAAAAATAGCAAAATTTACTTTCCTGAAACATTTCCATACATTATCTATCAGCTTTCCAACAATATTCAAATCCAGAATTAATTAAGGACCATATTGTAGGATATCACAGAATATGGAAAAGAATGGAGTTGCAAATGTGTGTTTTTCCCCACACTGATCAAAATCTGGGTGTTCCAGATTAATCCCATAGTGCTTTTCAATTCCCTCAGTAAACTAGGTTTTAATCAACAACTTGATGACGGTGGGGAAAAACAAGTGACCAAACAAAAAACACCAAAAAACAAAAAAACACTTTCTTTGGAGAGAAATATAGATACTAATGCAATTCTTCAGTAGGAAATTTTACTTCTCAAAGTTAATCATCGTTCTGTATAAAATTTGATTGTGTTTTGACATGGGCATAACTTTTTTCATTCCACAGATTGGTTCTAATCAATTAAACTTGTAATCAAGCGTTCTCACTCTATTCTCAATAGAGATTCTTGATTGTTCTTTCATGTATCATGATTTTGGAACAAATCCCATAACTGATGTATGAAGCCATCTTTCTGGTTAACTTCCTTTTAAGAAACTTTTCTACCTACCCAAACCTACTTTTATGATAGTTAAAACAAAAGGGAAATTGTTTTTTATTCTACATTTGGACCTTAATACAACAATCATGATCTAATTTCCCACATGTCTGGGTTGTTTTAATCTTTAATATTTGTCCTATTCTGTCATTTTCCATTGAATAATAGTGATAGCCCAGTAGAGAAAAGGAATGTTAATTCCCTATTCCATTATCCATTTATTCTTCATTTTATTTTTCAATAGCAAATATGCAGCAGTCATATTGCCATTACTTGGACAGCCAAAAGCTATACACAGTGGGCAAAGAATTTGATACACCTACATTCTATAAGACATGAAGATTCCTGTTTGTGGTGCATTTTGTTTGTAAGTACCACAAATAACATCTGCAGGCTTCAAGTTCTTAAAAAGATTTTTGCTTTATGCACATGCATTCATTCTTTTTTGCGTGCAATAAATATTCAGTAGGTGCTGAGCAAGTGTAGGGCATTGTGCTAGGTAATGGTTGATAGAAGAAGAAGCAGTCGTATAGATAATATTTGCCCAAATCAGCTATTAGTTTATAATAAAATACAAGTGTCTCTCGTCAGTCTAGATAAGATCATAAGAACAAAACGGTGCTCATTTTCATTGTTAGTGTAGGCATGGTCATCTCAGACCCTGTGGTAAGCAGGAACTAACTATATCAGCAACTTTCAGGAAGTAACAGTGCTACAGACAGGCCTAAATGGAAATGGAGTAGGTTTAACGAAAGTCGCTTTTTTCATCTACAGAAACCCTGATGACTTAAGGAAGCACCCAGTGTTTCATGATACAGAAAATACTTTGCTATCCCCTCCTCCCTCCCCACCTCCCGCCCCCAATGCACACACACCTGCTCGGGTGATGACAAGCTAAGCTGAGATCTCTCAGGAGCAAATCAGATGCAGGAAAGAAAAATGATGGGCTTGTTTTATGTATGTGTTATATACATATAAATCCACAGATCTCACAAGTATATAAACAAAGCTGTGTATATCACATTCCGCCATGAGAGAAGTTAATTAGACAAGGACCTGCAACAGCAGATACTTTTCATAAAAATGAAGAGAACAACATTCTTAGGCAGATGGGCCACTACTTTTGCAGCAGATGGCTTTGCTAATTAGATACCGGCAAAAGATAACATTTTAAAAAACCTGGTTTAATTACATGGTGCCAAAAATTAACAACCACCTGAGGGCTTGTTTTTTTTTTTTTTTTTTTTTTTTTTTTTAAATAAGTTTTTATTGTTCATATTATTACAAATGTTCCTTCCCCCCCCCCCCCCCCGCCCCACCATTGCTCTCTGAGGGCTTGTTTTATATGTTTGCATTCATAGTCTTACGTCATGTATCTCTGTGACATGCTGGAGAATGTTAAATTGTCAGTGCAATTATAAACAAATTGCAAGGAAATGTAAGTCCATACCTTTGTTCAAAATGGAAGCAAACACAAACAGGTCAACACTTGAAATAATTGTGGTTTTTATGAAATCTGAATAAAGTGTCGACCCAGCTATCCTTGAACATAGGCGTCATTGCTAATCCTATATAATAAAAGGGTAATATGCAAATTGACCCTAATGGTGGAAAGACCAGTTGCTATGATGCACACTGACCACCAGGATGCAGATGCTCAAAGCAGGAGCTACCCCCTGGTGTGTAAGTGTGCTTCCACAGGGGGAGTTCCACTAAGCCAGAAGCCAGCTCATGGCTGGCCAGTCCAGCTCTGGTGGGGGGGGACCCTCACCTACCTCTGCAGCAGCAATAAAGATGTCTAACTAATGGCTTAGGCCCACTGCCCAGCAAGAGCAATCTAAGCTGTTAGTCGGACATCCCCCGAGAGCTCCTGGGCTGCCAGAGGATGTCTGACTGCCAATTTAGGCCCAATTCCCCTCCTCCTTCCTCCCCCCAAGAGTGGGCCTAAGCTGTCAGGTGGACATCTCCCGAGGCTTCCTGGACTGCAAGAGGGTGCAGGCCAAGCTGAAGGATCCTCCCCTCCAGCCGAGTGCACACCAAGTGGCACATCAGATGACATGCTGTGCCATGAAAGGCATAAAGTAACCTCAGTCACTCTGGAAAAATGTGTCCAACTTTCCTCTCTG